CTTTAGTGTCTACATGACTTGTGTTTCCTTTTCTTGCTGCTTACAGTGCCTAGAACTTCCAGCACTGTGCTGAACAGAGCAATGACAGTGTGGACATTCTTGCCTTGTTCCCAGTCATAGTAGAAAACCATTCCAATTTTCTCCATTATGCATGGTTTTAGCTGTAGGGTTTTTTGTACATATTCCTTATCAAGTTGAAGTCCCCTCTACTCCTAGATTTCTGAGAATTTTTTGTCAATTTTATTGATCTTTCCTAAGAACCAGACTTTTTGTTCCATCGGTTTTCTCTACTGTTTTTCTGCTCACGATTTCACTGATTCTTGCTCTTGTCTTTATGATTTCTTTCCTTCTGCTTGCTGTATATTTATTTTGCTCTTCTTTCTCTAGTTTCTTGTGAGAGCTTAAATTACTCATTTGAGAATTTTACTTTTTTCTTTCTTTCTTTCTTTTTTTTCCAAGACGGAGTCTTGCTCTGTCACCCAGGCTGGAGTATAGTGGCATGATCTCCACTCACTGCAACCTCCGCCTCCTGGGTTCAAGCAATTCTCCTGCCTCAGTCTCCCAAGTTGCTGGGATTACAGGCGCACGCCACCATGCCTGGCTAATTTTTGTATTTTCAGTAGAGACAGGGTTTCACCATATTAGCCAGGCTGGTCTCAACCTCCTGACCTTGTGATCCGCCTGCCTCAGCCTCCCAAAGTGCTGGGATTACAGGCGTGAGACACCGCGCCTGGCTGAGAATTTTACTTTTTTCTTATGTAAACGTCTATTGCTACAAATTTCTCTCTCAGCACTATTTTAGCTGTGCCCCACACATTTTGATAAGAAGTGTTTTCCTTTTCATTTAGTTCAGTATGCTTTTTATTTCTCTTGAGACTCTGTCTTTGACCTATGGATTATTTGGGAGCATACTCTTTAGGCTCCAGGTGTTTCTGAACTTGGAATTTAGCCGTTCTTTCAGGCAGCTGGGGGTGGGGCCTTTCTCCTGCTGATGGATAGAGAAGGTTTTGACTTTCTACTAAGCCTCTTGGGACACCACCTTTGAAAGGAGGAGGAACCTTGTTATCCCTGAGTCAGGTTGGAAGCACAGGCTCCCCACGTGACATCCACTGATGCCACCAGACACAAGGTGACTTGCTGCCACCCAGCGGGGAGCTGGGGCACCCTGTTGGCCTGTCAGGAGTGAAAGTCAAGGGTCCCCACTCAGCCACCTGTAAGTGCTGGAGTCCCACCACAGTTTTTTCTGTGGCATTTGGTTTGAATACAGCAGTTACTGTCTGAAAGTTTTCTGTCTTGCTAGGCTGCCCCTTTCCTGATCCTCTGTCTAGGTAGGGGAAGCAGATCTTTTTTTGGAACTTTTTTTTTGTCCGGTTCACATTGGTGTTTACAGACTGCTGGCTTCTCCAGTATCCAGTCTAAGATATGAGAGGCAAAAGAAAGCCCAGAGAACTCATCACCAAGTCTTCCTTGGGTCCCAAAGCCTCTAAACAGTCTGCTTTCTTGTCTGCCAATCAAAGTATTCGGATGTTTGTCTTATACACAACTTCTAGGGTTTTTAGTTATACTTATTGGAGCGACCAGGTAAATGTGTATCTACTTCATTTCCCCAGAAGTAGAAGTCTCTAGAGTATGTTTTGCTTCTGGTAAAGAAAAGAAATCTCAATTTTTCTTTATTTTTCTAAACTATTATATATTAGCTATTTTTTTATTCTTTCAGAAAATGTTTAGAATAAAATTGCCGATCTCGCTCAAAATTCCCATTGGGGTTACAGTAAATGTAAAGTGACTCTATGACCCAGTCATTTAGAATATTCAATAACTAAATTGCAAATAATCTCTGGTCTCATATCAGAGAAACAGAATATCTCAGGGAAACACAGGCCCTGGATACTTAATGAAGATTTCAAGACAGAGGCCTTCCACTTAGTACATAACAAGTTCATTGTACAGTTCTGCCTCAAAATGTCATTGTTTGTCAGTGATTTCTTTTTTTCCTGTCACACCACACTACTCTAGCTATCATAGTAAATTCTGCCATTCCCACTTTTGCACTATAGGGTAGGGCTACGAACTCCCAAAAATAGGGACTATGCTAACTTGGGCATATGTTCTAGTTTTTGCCCCCTAACTTTTTGAATGGGAGGTCTTTAGGCTGATCATTGCAGGGGATGGCCTTGCTGATAAGCAATCTATAAACTCTGACTCCAGCTGACTGTCTTTCTGAAGAAAGCAGACCAAGGTTTTTAAAAATAGAGCAAACTGGAGCTTCCTGATTGTAGTACATGTCTGTGTTTGTTTTCCACTGGTTACATAAATATGGCAAATCGCTCGACAGAGAATGATACTGCATTTCCCGGGATCCCAGGAGGCATGTTTTCTTTTCACTTGCCTTTTCTGCAAGAACGTGACAGCAGGAAGAAGGAGTTGGTGGTATTAAAACAAGTAGTTACGACTGCAAGTTGCAGAAGAAACATTTTTGGACAGATGTCAGAATGAAGCATTTCAGTCTGGAGAGTAATTTTTATGTAAGAGAATATGATGTAAGTTACAGTGAAATTGGGAAAAAAGAAGTATTTAAGGAAAACTGTGACTTTTAAAGTCAATAAAAGGCAGTAAAGGTTTTTTTAAGGAACATCTTCTTGCACAAATATTGCAGTGGTGTTGACTGAGTCCCTCCCTTTCCTCTCGGGGCCCCACATTCTGTTCAGGTGCGTGGAGAATCCTGGGAACCTGCACACAGGTGCTGGGCAACACCTGGCCAGAGAAACGTTCCATTTCACATTGATATGTAACATGGCCTGGCTTTACCATGTCAAATTCCATTTAGTTTTGTTTAAAGATAAAATGTAAACATGCCCAGAAGAGTTCTCTTTTTTCCCTTATTGGAAACAGATGAAAGGACTTGATGGCGTAGGGGGAGGCAACAGAGGCATCTTTTGTGATTCAATTATATAGATGCAGTGACAATAGGCTTTTCTCTAGAGGAGTACATTGTGTGCACAGGCATTTACTTGGTAGTAAATGAATTTCATTAAATTGGACTGCTTGAACTTCCAGAGTTTTAAGAAAAAATTTGTTGGTTCCTTTGCTTCAAAATTCTTTTGCAGCAACATTTTGGAAAAAGCATTTTACTTAGAGTGTTATGGTCTGAACTGCATCTCACCACAACACCCCAAAATTCACATGTTGAAGTCCTAATCTCCAATACCTCAGACTGTGACTGTATGAGGAGGGAGGGTCTGCAGAAAGGTAATTAAGCTTCAATGAGGCCATTAGGGTAGGTCCTAATCCCATATGACTGGTGTCCTTATAAGAAGAAATTAGGACACAGATTGGTAAAGAGGGACTGCAATATGAAGACACAGAGAAGACAGCCATCTGGAAGCCAAGGAGAGAGGCCCCAGAAGAAACCAGCCCTGCCAACAGCTTGATCTCAGACTTCCAGCCCCCAGGACTGTGAGAAAATAGATTTCAGCCATTTAAGGCGCTCGGCCTGTGGGCCTCTGTTACCGTGGCCCTGACATGATACCACCTGGTGATGCAGTGGCTGCAACTTTTTTAAATGGATTTAAGTTATAAACAAAGACAAGACAAAGCAAAAATATAAAGCAAGTCATTTGGGTAACCTAAGATAAGACAGACCTGAGACGTGACAGTGGCATTTTCCTGGATGCTTTCACATATAATATGTTCTCCATACCCCACCTGATTCATCCTGACACAGGTGTGGCCGTGTCATTCTTATGCTTCAACCCCTTTGGTGACTCTTCCCTTGGCTGAGGGTAAATGACGTCCACCTCCTGGCTCTGGTTCTCATCAAGGCCTTCTCAGTCTCTCTGCCTCTTTCCCCAGGCTCTCCTTTTTGGGTGCTGCATTCCAGACATACTCATTTTCTTTCCTGCTTGCACCGAGGAGGAACCTTGGCCTGGGACAGCCCCAGTCCTGCAGCAGGCACTTCCCACTTTCTGTCTGGATGACTTCTGCTCCTTTTCAGGAAACGTGGTTCTAACTCCAGACTACTGATCTACCTCCTATGCTTCCCTAGACCCCAAAAAGTTTCTCGGGCCAGGTGTTGCCCAGCACCTGCGTGCAGATTACCAGGATTCTCCATGCATCTGAATACAATGTAGGGCTGAGAGAAGAAAGGGAGGGACTCTGTCAACACCACTGCAATATTTGTGTAATAAAGATGTTGTTCCTCAAAAAACCTCTGTCTAGGAAAGGCACCCTCTGTCACTAAATTTCCCCCTCTCTGTCTTGATTCTCTGATTGACTGTCTTCCTGTGAGGCTGGAAACTCCAGAAGATACAGTCCCTGCACTTGGTTGCTGTACCCTTGGCATCTTGCACAGTTGCCTGACTCATTCTTAATTTCACACCTACAAAATATTTGACAAACAATAAAACAATAGCCTACAAGTCTCTGTTTGCTCCCAGTAAAGCAAAGGAATAAAAGATTTTAAACACTCTACTATCTTTTTACTGTCCCACTCTTGAATTTTAACAAGTAATTTCTTCTCATACCCTAATAAGCATGCAGGAAGGATCTCTTGAGGCATAGGAGTAGAAGGAAATGAGGTCGATTTATCCTTTGGGCTACCTTATGAAACTCATCTCAAATTTTAATCCATCCACACGGACTGAGCACTTTCTTTTCTTTTTCTTTTTTTAGACAGAGTCTCACTCTGTCGCCAGGCTAGAGTGCAGTGGCACGATCTCGGCTCACTGCAATCTCCACCTCCCAGGTTCAAGCAATTCTCCTGCTTCAGCCTCCCGAGTAGCTGGGACTACAGGTGTGCACCACCACACCCAGCTAATTTTTTTGTATTTTTAGTAGAGACAGAGTTTCACCATGTTGGCCAGGATGGTCTCGATCTCTTGACCTTGTGATCTGCCCACCTCAGCCTTCCAAAGTGCTGGGATTACAGGCATGAGCCACCGCGCCTGGCCAGACTGAGCACTTTCTAAGTCTGAACTGAATCGTGGTAACACAGTCCTTACCTTCAGTATGCTGGATAAAGGGGTGCTGGTTTCTGTGTCATCGTGTGTTAACATCTGGATAGGCTCTGGGAGAAGCGAATGATGAGCCACCGGTTCTGGAGAAGTGGTTGGAAGCCTGTTACAGGCAGAATCTTCCAGATTCACAGCTTCCTGGGTGAGTCATTCAGCAAAAAAGGTTTTAAAGTTACCTCAACAATATCAGTTAGACTATTTAAGTAAGTCAATTATAAATAATCTCTGGTCTCATATAAAAGTCATTAAAAATCTGATCAGCCCCAGATACTAAAGGACGATTTTATGTCCCAGGCCTTTAATTTCATACGTAACACACCAATCGTAGAGTTCTGGCTCAATATGTATTTTTTCATCGTGCAAACGAAGCTTGTGGTTTTACCACAACAAAAATTAGTGTAATTCACTTCATAGTGTTTGTCTCATTCAATATTTTATTATGACTCCCGTTAACTTCCGGCAAGCATATGGATTTAATGAAAAGGGGACTCCAGCTCTTGGTAAATTTCTAAATTTACTAGAACTGACTAGTTTGGGTTATTTGATCCCAAAAGAGGGCGTGTCAGACATTAGCCTTCCTGGCATCCAAACTGCAGTGAACTGAGAGCACAGGGAAAGGGAGCCCGACGCCCTCAGCCTTGTAAGAAGTGTCTGTCCTAGGTGTCCCCACCAGCCCCCTTGCCATGGAGCCCTACAGAAACCAGACTTAAAAACTGTACACACTGGCCTCGACGTAAAACACAACAGCTCACATTTCACACCTTGTTGGCTTATCATGTTTAGCTGGATCCCGTTTCAACTAATATTTTTCCAGAGTTGGCTCTTTAAGATGGCATAGAAATTATTTACAACATCAAAGACCTCTGTGACACCATTTCCCCCACCTTCCCCCCACAGCCACTCAACACATCACGTGGCCCCCTCCAAGGCACCAGCACTCACCGGGCGCTGCGGATGGGCCGTCCCGACTGCTTGCCACCCCACCCCACCCCACCCCAGCAGGAGGGGACCTGGCCGGGACTGGGGACTGGGGACGTCTGTGCCATGGCCACAGCACGCAATTCCTCTGGTCACACCCTCCAAAACGAGGTGCCAGCATATCGCCATGACTTTGCTGGTCCTTGTTGACGATAAAAAGGAATAAGCACGGCCAGGCGCGTTGGCTCAAGCCTGTAATCCCAGCACTTTGGGAAGCCGAGACGGGCGGATCACGAGGTCAAGAGACCGAGACCATCCTGGCTAACACGGTGAAACCCCGTCTCTACTAAAAAAAAAATACAAAAAACTAGCCGGGCACGGTGGCGGGCGCCTGTAGTCCCAGCTACTCGGGAGGCTGAGGCAGGAGAATGACGTAAACTCGGGAGGCGGAGCTTGCAGTGAGCTGAGATCCAGCCACTGCGATCCAGCCTGGGTCCCTACAGGGAAAAACTCCATCTAAAAAAAAAAAAAAAAAAAAAAAAAAAAAGAGGAACAAGCACTAGCGGCTGAAGAAATGCACGGAGATCTCTGCTCTCTTCGCTCCTTTAGTGCCCGAGGTGGAGATGGGCTAGCCTCGGACCCTGGCGGGAGCAGCCTCAGGCCATTCTCTTTCTTTAGAATAGTTTTATTCTAGTTCTATTCTTCAGAATAGTTTTTCTAGGCCATTTCCTCTTTGCGAAGGGTCTAATAATCGTGCCTTCTTCACAAGGATGTTGTGAGATTACCGAGGTGATGTGAGTCCTTTAGAGGCTCAGAGGAGGCTTCCGCATACACGCTCCTTCCCCGACGCCCGCTCTCCCGGCACTGGCCGGGCCGGAGAAGCGCGCTCCACCCACCCCCCAACCCACCCCGAGCTTTCCCCACTTCCCTGCCGGGGGCTGGCACAGAGGCCCCGAATCACGGTTAGAAATTAAGCATGCGCAAGCACTTCTCTTCATACGAAATAATTCACAGATGAAGAAGCGCCCATAATGGGACCACCCATCTGAATTAATTGTGAGAAAATACGCTTTCCTACCAGCCCAGGGCGCCGGGAGTCAACACAGGCGCTGCCAAGGCGCGGAGGAGCCGGCGCTGCCGGGACTCGAGCGCCATCTACAGCCCGCGGAGGCGCCGCGCGGACCCCACAGGCAGGAAACAGCCTTGCGCAGCCGGGCTGCCAAACTGCACTCCCTCGAGAGAGATCAGTGTAGACGGAGAAGAATTTCAATCCTTTTGCTAAATTTATATATCATTTTATTTACCAAAATTAAATTTTATTTATAAATGTATAGTACAAATATATGTATTGATATAGAAATATATGCTGTGTATCTATTGCGTGCATGTATATGTGTGTATATATATTTGTGTGTGTGTGTGTTCTTAAATATACTTAAATAGACAAGTGTTTTAAATAGAATCGGTCCGATCTCCAGTGCTGCCACTGAATCTCCGTTTGATCTCTGGTGGTCGCTAAACTCTGGGAACCCCAGTTCTCCACTTGTCCAAGGAGACCGGTCCCACTTACCCAGCACGGCTGTTGTAGCGATTGAGGGAGATAATGTACATAAAACGCTTACCCTAGAGTCTGAGACAGAGAATTATACACTATTAAGAATATGATGACAGTTATTTGTTCATTTACCTATTTAACCAGTATCTCTTGAACCTGCTGTGTACCCAGCCCTCGCTGGTTACTGGGGGATACAGCAGAGACCTGGAAAGACAAGGACCCTTCCCTGCTGGAGCTGCAAGCTCAAGTTATCTGACTTTGCGAACAAATAAAACAGGCGGGGAAAGTAGGAACTAGGCCATGTTTTAGAACCACGGATGGGCATTCAACTACAAGTTAATGTAAGAGGCCCTGGGAAAGAGTTAATATAAACATTCTCATATCTCTTATCTGGATAAAACAAACCCGGTGGAATTGGTTGGAACATTCCAACCATCTTATGCATCAGCCAGGAAAGTAACTTTCAGCAATCATCTGTAAGTCAATGTATTAGTTTTCTATTGCCACATAACAATTACTTCAAACATTATTGCCGCTTAAAACAACATGCATGTATCATCAATTACTTCAAACATTATTACCGCTTAAAACAACATGCATGTACCATCTCTCAGGTTCCAAGGGTCGGAGTCCAGGCATTGCTCAACCGGGCCTCTGCTCTGGGTCTCTCAGGCTGAAATCATGATGTCCCCAGGGCTTGGTTGTGAAAGCTCCCTGGGGTCGTGTGTTGGACAAAGTTTGTGTCATTGCATGTCTGGGACTGACTCATGGCAACTTGCTTTTACAAAGCCAACCAGGGAGAGAGAGACCAGAGTGAGTGAGCTGGCAACAGAGTCTAATCTAACATACCCTCACCACCAGAGTGACAGCCCATCACCTTTGCCGTATTGTGTCTGTCTAAGCAAGCCACAGGTCACACACACAGTCAAGGCAGGGGTCACACAACGGTGTGAACGTCCAGACGTGGGGACCCTGGGGGAGGTCACTTAAGGTTCTGCCCACCACAGACACTGTCACAACTAATTCATATCAACCAAAACATATAAAATAGAAAAAGGAAAAAATACAGTGATTATTTCTCAAGTACATCTTATTTCACAAAATAGAGCTAATCCAAGATGTGCCCTGCACCTCACCACAATGATTCCCCCATGTAAATTTTGAAGACTGGGTTCATTGTCCAACAATTCAGAATTTTTGCAATGCTAAATTTCATGATGGGTTGCCTGGTCAAGAAAAACTTGGGAGTTCTAAAAGAAAAATAAACAACAGGATGCATGATGAACTCTCTTAGGACTTGCAGAATCATGTCTCACATATGAAGAGTAATCTCATTTTGTAGATAAATGGAAACTGCCTATCAATCAAATATTTACTGACTGGTTTCCTCGGAGGGAGACCCTCAAGTATCCCATTTCCCCCAAACTATCAGAAGTGAGAGAAAACAGCATTGGTCTTGTGGCCTTACAAGCAATTCAGAGGCACAACAAAAAGATGGCATTCTTCTGCATACAGCTCTACGGCCCAGATGATAAGGTTAATAGATTAGGACTCATTTATTGTGATATAAGAATGTAATTTCTTGGGCCGCGCACGGTGGCTCACGCCTGTAATCCCAGCACTTTAGGAGGCCAAGGCGGGTGGATCATGAGGTCAGGAGATCAAGACCATCCTAGCTATCACGGTGAAACCCCGTCTCTACTAAAAGTACAAAAAATTAGCCGGGCGTGGTGGCGGGCGCCTGTAGTCCCAGCTACTCGGGAGGCTGAGGCAGGAGAATGGCGTGAACCCGGGAGACCGAGCTTGCAGTGAGCCGAGATCGCACCACTGCACTCCAGCCTGGGCAACAGAGCGAGACTCCGTCTCAAAAGAAAAAAAAAAAAGAATGTAATTTCTCAACCTGACTTAATGTATATGCACACATGACAGCATAAAGCATAAAACATAAATTATTAAAAATAGAATATATTTGTTTTAAAGAAGCATTTGTGGGGTTTTTTTGTGGTTTTTAGTGGTTTTGTTTGTTTGTTTGAGACAGGGTCTCACTCTGCCACCTGGGCTGGAGTGCAGTGGCGTGATCTCGGCTCACTGCAACCTCTGCCTCCCAGGTTTAAGTGATTCTCCTGCCTCAACCTCCCGAGTAGCTGGGATTACAGGCGTGTGCCACCAAACCAGGCTAATTTTTGTATTTTTAGTAGACACAGGGTTTCACCGTGTTGGCCAGGCTGGTCTCCAACTCCTGGCTTCAAGTGATCCACCTGTCTTGGCCTCCCAAAGTGCTGGGACTACAGGCGTGAGACATCGCACCCAGCCAAGAAGCATTTGTCTTTAAAATGTGTTTAGAAGAATCAACCAGTGGAGAAAATAGTCTGCAAATAGACTTCTTCCTTTGTTATGCATACTGTGACAGTGTGTCACGAAAGTGCGTCCCACTCACAGAGAAACATCAACTTTTAATAAATGGTGCTGGACAATTGCCTATCCTACAGAAAAACAGGTACGTTTTATTTTTGCAACCTCATACCATGCACTAAAATAATGTATTCTAGATTAAATACCTAAATGTGAAAAGCAAACTTTAAATTTTTTGTAAGAAAATATTGTCTGGTATTTATGAGACATCTGGATGGGGAAAGAATTGTTGAATAAGACACAAGGCATCATGTAAAAGCTGGTTAACTCTATTACATTAAATGTAAAAGATTTTGTGGGCCAGGCACGGTGGCTCACACCTGTAATCCAAGCACTTTGGGAGGCTGAGGTGGGCAGATCATGAGGTCAGGAGATCGAGACCATCCTAGCTAATATGGTGAAACCCCTTCTCTATTAAAAATACAGAAAAAGAGCCGGGTGTGGTGGCATGCACCTGTAGTCCTGGCTACTCGGGAGGCTGAGGCAAGAGAATCACTTGAACCTGGGAGGCAGAGGTTGCAGTGAGCCAAGATCACACCACTACACTCCAGCCTGAATTACAGAGAAAGAAAAAAAAAAAGATTTTGTGAGACAGATATTATAAAGAAAGATAAAAGTTGAGCAATATACTAGAAAAGATATTTTCCATTCATCTGGCCAGCTAAGAATTAGTATCCAGAAGATGTAAAGCGCTCCTGTGGAACAATAAGAAAATGACAAACTACTCAGCAGAAATGGCCAGAAAACATGAAGACTCAATTGATGGGAAAACACCCAGATGACCAGAAACTGTGAAAAGGTGTTTGACTTCTCCAGTAATCAAAAAACACAAATGAACACAAAATTAAAAATGTCCACTTAAAAATCTAAATGAGGTGTCATTTCATACATATCCAGTCAGCAAAAGTTAAGTAGCAGAACAAAAGGCCACCACCAGTCACGACGGTTAATATTAGGTGTCAGCTCGACTGGCTTAAGAAACATCTAGAAGCCTGACGGCACATTGTTTTTGGGTGTGTCTGTGTGTCTGTGAGGGTGTTTCCAGAGGAGGTTAGTGTGCCTCTGTGTGGACTAGGTGGGCAAGCTCTGCCTCCAGTGTGGGAGGTGCACCGTGCAACCTGCTGGGGCCTCGGAAAGAAGAAAACCAGAGAAAGGGGGAATGTGTCCACCTAGCTGCTGGCATTGGGATGCACTCCTCCTCACCTGTCCTTGCACAACAACTCCAGGATCCCCAGCCTTTGGACTCCGGGACTTAACACTAATGGCCCCCTGGCTTCCGAGGCTTTTGGTCTCGGATTGAGAGTTACACTCTCTGCTTCCCTTGTTCTTAGGCCTCGGTACTGGGCTGAGCCATGCTACCAGGATCTCACGGTCTTGACCTTGCAGGCAGCCTGTGGTGGGACTTCTTAGCCTCCATAATCACGTGACCCAATTTCCTGAATAAACCCCCCTCTTATCTATCTATCTATCTACCTGCCTATCTATCTGTCTATATTCTATTGGTTCTGTCTCTCTGGAGAGCCTTGACTAATACACGAGTGTTACGGAATTTATTTCACTTGATGCTGAAATAGTACAGTGAAGAACTTCTGGGGCCAAGTGCAGTGACTCATGCCTGTAATCCCAGCACTCTGGGAGGTCAAGGCAGGTGGATCACAAGATCAGGAGTTCGAGACCAGCCTGGCCAATATGGTGAAGCCCCATCTCTACTAAAACTACAAAAATTAGCCGGGCGTGGTGGCAGGCACCTGTAGTCCTAGGTACTCAGGAGGCTGAGGCAGGAGAATCACTTGAACCTGGGAGGCGGAGGTTGCAGTGAGCAGAGATCACGCCACCGCACTCCAGCCTGGGCGACAGAGCAAGGCTCTATCTCAAAAAAGAAAAAA